TGAAACCCAAAGGGCACGGTCTTGCTCACCCGCTCCCGCGTCATGGAGTTCGCAGTGTAAAACCCCCCCTCCAATATCGGAAACAAATTTCGCACCAACAACAAGCAGCGCTACAACTTCTGCAACAACAGCGAAAACCCCTGCAACTCAAAGTACCACGACGTCAACGACTACAGCGAGTACAAAAACAACAACCTCGGAAAGTGCCAAAGCGGCAACGGCCACACAGACTGGAATGGATCGCTACATCCAAATTAAGCGCAAGCTTAGCCCGCAGAGTAATCCGGCAGGCAACAAAACAAAAATTAACCGTGTCCTGAATAACGATAATGAACCAGACAGATCCACTACTAACAGATTTGCCCTACTGGCGGAGGCTGAGGAAAACCAACCAGCCCAAGACACCGCAAAAAACCCAAGCCCCCTCCAATCTATATTAGGGAAAAAAGCTCGAGTGCCCTGGTCAACAAAATTGCGTCGTTGATCGGGAACGGTGAAAACTTTCATGTTGTTCCGCTTATCAAAGGGAACATCCATGAAACAAAGGTGCAAACCAAGACTGAAGAGCACTTCCGAATAGTGTCAAAATATCTGGACACTGTACAGAAAAACTATTACACGTACCAGCTGAAAAGCAGTAAGGGCCTACAAGTGGTAGTAAAGGGAATAGAACCTGATGTTACCGCCGAGGAAATAAAAACCGCCCTTAAAGAAAAGGGCTTCGCCGCCAAGAATGTTATTAACATTCTAAATAAAGATAAAAAGCCACAACCCCTCTTCAAGGTCGAGCTCGAGCCTGAAAGCAGGTCGCTGAAGAAGAACGAAGTCCACCCAATCTACAACCTGCAATATCTTTTGCATCGGAAAATCACTGTTGAAGAGCCACATAAACGTAACGGTCCAGTGCAATGCACTAATTGTCAAGAGTATGGACACACAAGGTCTTACTACACACTTCGGGCTGTCTGTGTAGTCTGCGGGGACGCCCACAAGTCCGCTTGCTGCACTACAAACAAGGACAGTACCGTGAAGAAATGTGGAAACTGCGGAGGCAGCCATACGGCAAACTATAGAGGATGTATTGTGTATAAGGAGTTAAAGAGTCGCATGCGTCAAGCGACCGCAACGCGCAACCAAAATCCACAGAATGCGTACGTTTCGTCAAAAACCACGCCAGACGTCTTCTTCGCCAAAGCTGCGAGATCCTCATTCGGTCCACTAAACACCACCAACGGCTTCTCCTATGCCGATGCTCTACGATCTGGAAGGGAAATTCCAATTCAGCCTAACTCTCAAAGCGCTCAACAGGCCCCAGAACAGCCACACAGCAAAACGGAAACTATGATGCTTACCCTCCAACAAAGTATGATGGAGCTTATGTCATTCATGAAAACGACCATGCAAACGCTTGTTCAAAACCAGAACATGGTGATACAGCTGCTCGTAGCACAACAGTCCAAATAATCTATGCAGGCGCTACGAATATCAATGTGGAACGCCAATGGTGTCTCACGGCATAAACTAGAATTGTCACAATTCTTGACCGAAAACCATATTGACGTTATGCTACTGGTGGAAACGCATCTTACAAGCAAATACAACTTTCATATAAGAGGCTACACAATCTACCGCACAGATCATCCAGATGGGAAAGCCCACGGCGGAACTGGAGTTCTAATCAGAGAACGAATTAAACACCATTTTCACAAAAGGTTTGCAACAAACTTCTTGCAGGCCACATCGATACAAATTCAGTCAAGCAACGGAATCCTTTCAATTGCTGCCGTTTACTGCCCTCCTCGCTTCTCAATCTCGGAAGGACAATTTATGGACTTCTACAATTCACTTGGGGATCGATTTATAGCCGCAGGAGACTACAACGCCAAACATACGCACTGGGGATCACGTCTAGTGACTCCCAAAGAAAGACAATTGTACAATGCAATTATAAATGTGAAAAATAAACTGGACTACGTTTCCCCTGGAAGTCCCACATACTGGCCAACAGACTCACGAAAGCTCCCAGACCTTATTGATTTTGCAGTGACAAAAAACATACCTCGCAATCTAATAAGTGCCAAAGCAGTCTCGGACTTATCATCAGACCACTCGCCTGTGCTTCTAACGCTTCTTCAAAGCCCAGAAATAACCGAACACCCCTTCAGTCTGACGACGACAAAAACAAACTGGCTAAAATACAAAAAGTACGTGAGTGCCCACATAGAACTCGCCCCGGATTTTAACATGGAATCGGACATCGACTACACTACGAGCGCCCTGGAAGAAGTACTCGTTGCGGCAGCTAAAATCTCTACTCCTCATAGGAAAGAAGTAGACCGAAACAAACACTTCAAATCTAATCAGCAAATCGAACAGCTCGTGCGAGAAAAGAGGCGCACGCGTCGTGATTGGCAAAACAGCAGATCACCAGCTTCAAAACAACGCCTTAAGGAAGCAACCCGATCACTCGACCAGGCTCTTCACCAACAGGAAGAAAATGCACAGCTGAGGTACATCCAGAATCTCTCGCCAACAAGCACAAAGTACCCCCTGTGGAGGGCCCACCCAAATCTTAGTGCCCCAATTGAAACGACCACCCCGATAAGAAACTCTTCGGGATGCTGGGCTCGCAGCAACGAAGACCGAGCTGAAACATTCGCCACACATCTCCAAAGTGTCTTCCAGCCAAACCCAGCCTCAAATTCATTCCTCCTGCCAGTAATTCAGCCAGAGTCCTCCCCTCAGCCAGCCGCACCTCCATTCCGGCCGAACGAAATCGAAAAAGTCATAAGAGGGCTAAAACCAAAAAAGGCTCCCGGTGGTGACCTATTGACCCCAAAGATGCTGATCGAACTTCCAAAATGCGCTATAGAGGTCGTCTGCAAACTATTTAATGGAATCATTAATCTTGGCTATTTCCCAAAAAAGTGGAAGAAATCCATCATTATAATGATACCGAAGCCTGGAAAAGACCACACAATTCCGTCATCATACAGACCAATAAGCCTTCTATCTTGTTTGTCTAAACTGTTTGAAAAATGCTTGTTAACTCGCATAATACCACATTTGGAAGCTTGCAATATCATCCCGGCACACCAATTTGGCTTTCGAAGAAACCATGGAACCATCGAACAAGTGAACAGATTAACATCCGAAATACGCTCAGCCTTCGAACAACGAGAATACTGCAGCGCTATTTTCCTCGACGTATCTCAAGCTTTCGACCGAGTTTGGCTCATCGGACTCATGCACAAAATTAAAACGTATTTGCCAACATACACCCACAAGCTACTGGAATCATACCTCTTCAATAGGGTATTCTCAGTGAGATGCAACGCAGCTACTTCGGGCGACTACACCATCGAAGCTGGAGTTCCACAGGGAAGCGCACTCGGGCCGTGTCTATATGTTTTGTATACTGCGGATATTCCTACGAGCGCACAACTAACAACGTCAACGTTCGCCGATGATACCGCTATTCTTAGTCGCTCCAGATGCCCAACGCAGGCAACAACCCAACTGGCTAATCATCTCACAATAGTGGAAAGGTGGCTGTCCGACTGGCGCATTAAAATAAACGAACAAAAGTGTAAACATATAACGTTTACTCTTAATAGACAAACATGCCCTCCGCTTTTACTAAACGGTATGCAGATCCCTCAAGCTAACGACGTAACGTACCTTGGCGTTCACCTTGATAGACGACTTACCTGGCGTAAGCACATCGAATGCAAAAAGATGCATCTAAAACTGAAAGCCAGCAGCCTCCACTGGATCATAAACTCACGATCGCCACTGTGCCTAGACTACAAGTTACTACTGTACAATTCAGTCCTAAAGCCAATCTGGACGTATGGCTCCCAGCTGTGGGGGAACGCGAGCAGCAGCAACATAGACATCATACAGCGCGCACAATCAAAAATCCTGAGAACTATCACAGGGGCACCTTGGTATGTTCGCAACGAAAACATCCACCGGGATCTGGGCATCCTCGCAGTGAAAGACGAAATCCAGAAGCAAAAAATGTCCTACAAAGAAAAACTGTCTTCGCACCCAAATTTTCTCGCTCGGGGATTGACTCGGGTTTCTAGCGTATCCCGCCTTAGACGCAACGACCTCCCAACCCAGCAATCGATTTTTAAGGCCGTCTAACTCCGTATCAGTCAATATGACTGTTAGTTAAGTTAAAAATATAAGATTTGATACACCTCTTGTTAGTCTCGCAAAGAGAAGATTCAAGAAATAAAAGCAACGTTAAAATAAAAAAAAAAAAAAGGTATAAGTAAGGGAAATACCCTTGGTATAATATATAAATAATATATATATGTAATAAATATATATAAACAGTTTATTTTAAAATTTGTTTCTTTAGTGTATAAATAAATACAAAAATATATTTTACAAGTAGGATTCTTTTAAAGTTAAAAGTGAAAAACATGTATTTACATGTCTCGCCACTGTACGTATATGTACATGTGTATGTAACGCATAGCTTCACAGCTGTAAACACTTCATCTTATCTGACTATATCTTTGATATACATATCTGTACCTTTGATATATATATCTTTATCTTTGAGTCTAAGTTCCAAATCGGATACTTCTACCTCTTATAGTCTCGTATATCCACGCTTTGAAAGTTGTAAAACTTAATGGGAATCGGAATATAATGCCTATTCTATATAAAGAATCGGCCATTTTAGCTGAAATTTATTTTCCATATTGAAACTTGCCAAAAAAAACAGTTCGGCATCTAAAAATTGTTTAATTTTTAAAACATTGAAACCAATATCCATGCAACATCCTTTAGCTCTTTCTTTTTTTTAGTTTTTTAGTCTCTAAAATTCACGCGTTCATACGAGGGATAAGAATAGTTTGCGAAATCCCCGCGATCAAGATCACGTTCGTGCGTCAATTTAACTTTATATTGCTTTAATTTTACTATTATTTAACTTCATCTTAAAAAGTTTAAATTTTTACTTGGCTTCTTATCTTTTCTAGCCGAACTTGTTGAAAATAAAAGGGAAAACAATCAACAAGCAACCGCACAGGATAATTTTTCCACAATTAACATACAGCGGCAGCCGGTATCTAATACTCAAATAAATGAGCAAATATTAACTGTATCAGAGAAGGAGAACGTTGGGAAAACTGTTTCATCATCTGTTTCTGATGTTATACCAGATGTACAGCGATCTGATGCTAATACGTCATCGCCAGAATCAGAATATACTAGTATAAATGAAGCTGCGCCAGTTAATACAATGAAGGTTTTGTATAATGCAAAAACTGAAATATTGGAAAACCATTTGCAGTCGAGTGCTAAAGGTAATCAGATTCATGACCAACCAAAACCAAAAAGTGTTCCTAATAAAACTGATAATTCCTCAATGGTAATTAAAGAAGAAAAATTGGAATCAGTTAAGTTGGACTCCATAAAATCCAAAGATATATCATCTGTTTTAATGGATTTTGAAATATCATCTAAAGAGACAAAGTCTCAAGATGTCCACGTAGATGATTTACAGAACCTTTCCCAATCTGAAGATAAAGATGAGGTGGAGCATGTGGCTGAGAATAAACATGATTCCCAAGACTATGAGCTTTCTGTGAAAAATGAACCCGCAGAAATGTTATCGGTGCCCCTTATTAACTATAATGAAGGTCAATGGTCTCCAAGTAATCCAAGCGGCAAAAAACAATACGATCGTGATCAGTTATTACTTTTGCGAGAGGCTAAGGCATCTCGGATCCAGCCTGAAGTTAAAAATGTTTCTATACTTCCTCAACCAAATTTAATGCCATCATTTATACGAAATAATAATAATAATAAGCGAGTACAGTCGATGGTAGGTTTAATTGGCAATCGCAGTTGTGAACCTGGAGGCAATTACATTGGAAAACAAGTATCGATGTCAGGTGTACAAGCAAGCGGGGGAAGAAACAGTATGAAAGGGATGATACATGTTAATTTATCATTAAATCAGGATGTTAAGTTAAATGAGAACGAAAACGCATGGCGACCACGACTGTTAAATAAATCAGAGGGAGATAGTAACTTAAAAGAAACCCAAGAAAAAGAAGATTTAGTACGCCGGGTTCGGGGTATATTAAACAAGCTAACGCCTGAAAGGTTTGACACGCTTGTTGAGGAAATTATCAAGTTAAAAATTGATACTCCAGATAAAATGGATGAAGTTATTGTATTGGTATTTGAAAAAGCTATTGATGAGCCAAATTTTTCTGTATCCTATGCCAGACTTTGCCACCGTCTTATTACAGAGGTAAAAGCACGCGATGAGCGAATGGAAAGCGGTACCAAATCTAATTTGCAACACTTCCGTAATGCTTTATTGGATAAAACCGAAAGAGAGTTTACTCAAAATGTTTCTCAAAGTACTGCTAAGGAGAAAAAACTGCAACCAATTGTAGATAAAATAAAAAAATGTAACGATGGAAATGAAAAAGCTGAACTTGAGGCTCTGCTTGAGGAGGAGGAACGAAAAATACGCCGCCGCTCCGGAGGCACTGTTCGATTTATTGGCGAACTTTTTAAAATATCCATGTTAACCGGAAAAATAATATACTCTTGCATTGATACTCTTCTGAATCCACACTCTGAAGATATGCTTGAATGTCTTTGTAAACTGCTTACTACAGTTGGTTCAAAGTTTGAACAGACTCCCGTCAATTCCAAAGATCCGACGCGGTGTTACTCACTTGAGAAGTCTATATCTAGAATGCAAGCAATCGCATCAAAAACTGATAAGGATGGCGCTAAGGTTAGCTCTAGAGTGCGTTTTATGCTACAAGATGTTATCGATTTGCGCAAGAACAAATGGCAGTCAACGCGTAACGAGGCCCCTAAAACTATGGGCCAAATCGAAAAAGAGGCCAAAAATGAGCAGCTCTCTGTTCAGTATTTTGGTAGTTTGCCTGGATCTTCTCCGATTGTGTCGCACGGGGGCCCTAGTAAAAGAGAAGATCGGGGAAATTCTAGATTTGGTGACTCCCGTTCGGGAGGTGGATATACTGGCAGTCACAGTCAACGTGGTGACAATGGTAACCTGAGACATCAGCAGCAAAATAATGAAGGTGGCAGAAATGGGCCTGGTGGGTCTGGTCACTCTAATGGAAACAACGATGACAACACTTGGCACGTGCAAACAAGCAAAGGAAGTCGATCCCAAGCCGTTGACAGTAACAAACTGGAAGGACTGGTAAGAAAATTTAATTAGAAATATGTATCTGATTATCTTTACCAATTTATTAAACTTTTATTATTTTAAAAAAGTCAAAACTATCGGACCAAAATTTGGAAACAAAAAAAATGGGCGGTGTAACGCAATTTATTTGGAATAATAACACGTCAAGACAATCATCAGCTCCAACATCAACGCCAACAAATCCTTTTGCAGTTCTATCATCGCTGATTGATAAGAATAATACTGATAGGGAACGAGATCGTGAACGCAGCGGGCCAAGAAACAAAGGCTCATACAATAAGGGATCCATAGAGCGCGACAGATATGATAGAGGTAATAACACAAAATTACAAATTTGGTTAACAATATTAAATTTATGTATGACTAAAAAGGTATTACCACGAGAACTGGATCATCTCATGGGTCAAGAGAGAACTCGTCGTCCCGCAGTGGTCAGCAGGTTCGCAGTTTAATCAATACATCGGTTCACAAATCGTCTAGTCAAACGAAATACCCACAGCAAGCTCCACCCCATAGACAAGCAGCCAAGGTGAGTTATGCACCCCGATACTTTTCTGTTCCATTCCTTTCTATCCCTTTCTATGTAGCGTTTGTATTAAGGGGACCTCACTTTCCGCTCACTGGAACTTGTGAAACCAAAAATTCCAACGGGATTAGAAAGAGTACATGTTGTTTGGCTCTCGTATGAACTAGGATTATTAACTTTGCTCAAAAATTAACAAAATGGCGGACCTTTGACAATTATTTTTAAAAATTATTTTAAGTTTAAGTTTTTTTAAGCTCCATTCAAGCTGAAAAGTAAAGAAGATCTTCACCGATTTGATTTATCCTAGTTCATACCAGAGCTATATATGTATAGAATAACGTGTTAAAATTTGGAACCGATTGGATTAATAGTTTTTGAGTAACCTCATGCGCCAGTCGTAAAAACTGTTTGAAGAAAAACGCGTTTAAAGTTTTGAGACGGCTCTCGCCGTCGCCTGAGGCCACCACCATAAATCGGCTATATCTTCAAGAGTTTTTGAGATTTTCACTGGAAATTTTCAGGGAACATTCTTGAATAGTTAATAGTTCGAATAAAATTTTAAAAAAATATCAATTTTTTGAAGCCGAGAATGGGGGGTCCCCTTAAAACTATACCAAGAAAAGTATTTTTTCAACATTCGCAAAATTTTTGGCACGTACGGAGGTCAAATTTTGTAATACTAGCAAGACGTAAGCTCTAAAAATATGAATCGTAATGATCAAATGGTCGTATGAAAACTATTTGAAAATTAATATTTTTATACCATTGCAGAGGGTATTATAATTTTGTCCAAAAGTGTGCAACGCAGTGAAGGAGACATCTCCGACACTATAAAGTATAAATATTCTTGATCAGGATCACCTCCTGAGTTGATATGAGCATGTCCGTCTGTCCGTCTGTCTGTCCGTTTCTACGCGAACTAGTCTCTCAGTTTTAAAGCTATCGTCTTGAAACGTTGCACACATCCTTCTTTTCTTTGCACGCAGTACATAAGTCGGAACGGCCCGGATCGGTCGGCTATATCCTATAGCTGCCATATAACTGATTTATCGGAAATGGTATAACTTTGGTGTTTTTTGAGTTAGAGAGTTCAAATTTGACACGAGAGCTATCTTTGGCAAAACATTACGACATGCCAAATTTTATAAGGATCGGCCGACTATATCTTATAGCTGCCATATAACTGAACGATCGGAAACGACCCAACTTTCGTGTTTCGTGTGAAACTTAGTACATATTCTATTTTTGGTCAGCTAAATAGAATCCAACCTGCCAAATTTTATTAGAATCGGCCGACTATATCCTATAGCTGCCATAGAACTGAACGAACGGAAATGGTTTTTGGAAAGAAATACCAACTTTGGTACTTTTGAAGATAGAAGTTTGGGACTTTTTTTTTAGATTTTTTATTGTAGTTTATTGGTTTTATTATGATTTAATCATAAGAATCGGTTTGCGATATATGTATATCCGGTTTTAACTGCAAGGGTATATCAACTTCGGCTCCGCCCGAAGTTACCTTCCCTTAGCTTCTTTCCTTTCCTTGCAAAGAAAAGAAGGATCGGTCGACTATATCCTATAGCTGCCATATAACTGAACGATCGAAAATTACCCAACTTTCGTGTTTTTGAAGATAGAAAGCTGAAACTTAGTACAGATTCTATTTTTTGATCAGTTGATCCAACCTACCAAATTTCATTAGGATCGGCCGACTATATCCTATAGCTGCCATATAACTGAAAGATCGGAAATGGTTTTTGGTAGAAATACCAACTTTGGTATTGTTAAAGATAGAAGTTTGGGACTTGTTTTAAATTTTGTATTATAATAAATTGGGTTATATTATCATATTCTCATAAGGATCGGCCAAATATATCCGATGTTTGCGATATATATCCGGTTTTAACTGCAAGGGTATATCAACTTCGGCTCCGCCCGAAGTTAGCTTTCCTTTCTTGTTTATACTTTTACGCTTATCACGTTCCGAAAATTTTGGTTGAACATAATGTACCGAATTAACAAAAAGTAGTTCAGACAGGCTTCATAAGAAACTTTATGCGCCGATTTTTTAAAAATTATCGTGAGAAAGGTGATAAAAAGAAAATACAGATCGGGAAAGAAGAAATTTACTGCTCCACGAAAAGATTGTGGTATTATGAGAATTAGCTACAGGATCAAGTAAAAAACTCATCTGAGTCCAATTTAAATTTAAACAAGAAAGGAAAGATAACTTCGGGTGGAGCCGAATTTTATATATGTTACGAATATTTATACGAAAAATGTTTTATATTTATACGAAAAACGAATTTTTTGCATATTTTGCGCTAGGGCGAAACCACAACTTCAGCCACCATACATACGGCCATGCTACTGATTCGGTATGGAAGCGGACTAAAAGCGAAAGTGGATCCCAAGCTCGAAATCTTATTGTTCTTATTGGGGTATATGGGTATATATGGATATATGGGTATATCTCCTCTAAAAATCGGCCGATTTGACGGATCCCTGTCCGTCTGTCCGTATGAACGCGTGGATCTCGGAGACAATCAGAGATAGACCTAAGGATCTGACATGGAGACAAATATAATGGCCATGTTCATGTTTGTTTCAAATTTTCCACGCCCCATCGCATATTTCTGTGGCTCGAGTACATGAAGGTTTTATGAAAAAAATGTATATCTGAAAAAAAAATTGCATTCAAATCGATTTTTAGAGGATATCAATAAAATTGAGAAATGTGCAACGTAAACTCCTTCATGTTGAATTTTTTTATTAATATTTATATTATCATATATTCATATATTTAGATAATAAATTTACAAATTGAATAAGCCGAGGTTTGTTGGTTATCTGTTAATTAGAACTTGTCAGTCTTATTCCTGGAGCAAGCCGGACATCTTCAATTGGTCTAGCTTAAAAGTAATGTTTCCAAGGGATGTTTTCTAAAATGATATCACTGAGAAAAATTTTCTCAGAAAATGTGTTGGAACAAGTTTTTTCCAAAGAAAATATAGATGGGGGAAGTATTCATTTATATAAGGATTTTTGGTAAAAAAGCATTTAAATAAAATAAAAATAAAATGAACTATTTGAGTGCCCATTCCAACTTTTGAATTAACGAAAAATTAAATAAAAAACTACGTTTTTTCGTTCAGTGACGGCTCTGCTCTCATTGCTTTGTGCTACTACGCATACACTCATATTCATATAAACACAAAATTCAAAATAAAACCAAATTTAAATTGCATATAATTTTAAATTTTCTTGCAACTGTATTTTAAAAAATTTTTTTTTTATTTTTCTCGCAGGCACAATCTTTGTTGGGCGCCATAAATGCTAGCTCAAGTGGAACTCAACGTGGTACCGAACAAGTTTCATTTTCGGGTGCTTCTATACCGGTGGCGCAAAGTCGATCGACTGCCCCAGAAGCAGTTTTTACAGACGCCAGTGAAACTGATCTAAAGCTTATCAAGTCAGTTGTTTCAGAAATGATTGAACTCGCTGCTGCCTCAAAAGCAGTGACGCCTGCGGTTATTGCATGTATAAAACTCATCCCTGAAGGACTGCGATGTAGTTTTATATATTATATATTAACTGATTATTTGCATTTAGCGAATGTCGGTAAACAGTATAGGCGTTATCTTGCTATTACTGTGGATTTACTAATAAAGCAGAATTACATCTCTGTGGATCATTTTAGACTGGCGTACAATGAATTTAGCGAGTACGCGAACGATTTAATAGTTGATATTCCAGAGCTATGGCTATATATTCTTGAGTTTGTTGGTAAATAATGCAAAAAATAATATCGTTTTTATCTATCTAAAGCCATATTTTTAGGTCCCTTGATTGTCAAGAATGTTCTAACGCTTTCAGAGTTGTGGAATAAAAAATTAAAAGACAATAGCCATTCAAACGTGTCTAAAAAGTTCCTCAAAACATATTTGTCATATTGCACACAAGAAGTTGGCCCGAATTTTACCCGTACTATGTGGGTCAAGTTTAAAATGCAATGGTCAGATTTTATGCCTGAAACTGACGTGAATGATTTTATTGAATCCAATGTGAGTTCCTAACATACAAATATTTTTATAATACTAATGGTATACCATTACCTGCAAACTATAATTATTAAAAATAATAATAATATTTACAGAGATTAGAATATGTGGAAAATGAATTAAAGTCACCAGTGTTTCGCCCGAGGGAGTGCCAAGAAAAACACGTTAAAAATGTGATAGAACATATTGAACATTTGTTAAAGGAAGGGACATCGGCAGATAGCATAATCGATTATAGTAACGTAAGTAAACTTTCAATATAGTATATATATACTAATCCGCGCTGTATACTTTTTATTAGGGAAATATTATGGTGGTAGACAAGCTTTTTATAAGAGGCTTAACCGAAACATTGAGCAATTTTTCAATCATCTACAAAGAAAACAGCTACAAACTTGAGTCCGAAACCTTCCAGAAGTTTTGTATACCAGTTTTACAGAGATACATTGATTCTAATGAAGATCATCAACTGGAATGTTTATATGCAATGCAACTCTTAGTGCATGGCTTGGAGCATCCGAGAGGTATAGAAATATATACGTTTGTACTTATAAATTTTTTGAACGTTTGTTTTGTGTTATTGATTTAAGGCTTGTTGGGTGAACTAATCGGCGAGCTTTATGACGGTTATGTAATTCAGAAAGAATCACTTTACAAATGGAGAGATTCCAAGGACCAGTCAGCTGGCAAGGGTATAATTTAATATTACAATATTTTCTAATTTACTTATTTATTTATACTTTTTATTCTTTATTCGATAGGAGTTGCTGTCAAAAGTCTTAATCCGTTCTTTAACTCATTAATCAATGATGAAGGCAACTGAAAAAATGATGTTTCCAACTGAAAAATGATGAAACACGAAATACAAACTAAAGCATACTTTAAATATTTGTAATAAAATTCTCAAAATCGAAAAGTGTGCAAAGAGGGTTCTGTTACCGAAAATATAGATTTCTATATGGATTAGTTTAATAGATTTTGTGGTTGCATAGACATAAAATTACTATATGCAAAAAAATAAAGCGGAAAGATAATGTAAATAATGCGGATCTAAATGAAATTAAACGAATAACCTTTTAGTGGAAAGAACCTGTGGTCTGTGGATGATCTGAGTAAAATTAGTAGGGTTACTAATGCGAAATAGTTTTTATGAAATAATGAACTTTTGAGCAGAATGGTTGGACATAGTTTTTGGAAGCCGAAGGCAGTTCGCCGATAAAAGATCCGTGTTGAAGTAAATCGTAGCGTTACCGAAAAGTAACGACGCCGACAAATTGCAAATGGCCGGCACTGTGGCTCCGTAGATGGAAGCGAACGAAATTGCGCAGTAACTGAGTGCAACATGATAACCCAAGAACCCGTTAGGCAGAAATTTCGTACGCCTGCGCAAAAATTGTTGGAGATCGGTCAAATGTTTGATCTCCATCTCTACACTGCTCTTAAAAAAATTTCTGACCTCAGATTAACCGCTACTAAATTACCCTTGAAGAGGGTATTATAATTTTTGTCAAAAGTGTGCAACGCAGTGAAGGAAACTGTACTAATCTCCGATCCTATAAAGTATATATATTTTTGATCAGGATTACCTCCTGAGTTGTTATGAGCATGTCCGTCTGACTGTTTCTACGCGAATTAGTTTCTCAGTTTTAAAGGTATCGACTTGAAATGGTATAAGTGTAGTATTTTTAGAGTTAGACATGAGAGCTATTTTTGGCAAAATAATACGACATGCCAAATTTCATAAGGATCGCCCGACGTTATCCTATAGCTACCTTATAACTGAACGATCGAAAATTACCCAACTTTCGTGTTTTTGAATATAGAAAGCTGGAACTTAGTACAGATTCTATTTTTAGTCAGTTAATCCTACCAAATTTCATAACGATAATTAACGGAATAACGTAATGAATTGGTTTTATTATGATATTCCCATAAGGATAGGCCAACTATATCCGATGTTTGTGATATATATCCGGTTTTGACTGCAAGGGTATATCACGTCCTAACTCCGTCCGAAGTTAGCTTATTCTTAAATCTTCTTTTTGCGATACTAACCTTTCATAGGAGGTGTATGAAATCTTATACTTTGTATCTTATAAATTTGAAATCTTTTGAATTTTATAGGCGGCCCTAAATATCGATTGCTGGGTTGGGAGGTCGTTGCGTCGCAGGCGGGATCCGCTGGAAACCCGAGTCAATCCCCAAGCGAGAAAATTTGGGTGCGAAGACAGTTTTTCTTTGTAGGACATTTTTTGCTTCTGGATTTCTTCTTTCACTGCGAGATGCCGAGATCCCGGTGAATGTTTTTGTCACGAACATACCAAGGTGCCCCTGTGATAGTTCTCAAGATTTTTGATTGTGCGCTGTATGATGTCTATAATGCTGCTGCTCACGTTCTTCCACAGCTGGGAGTCATACATCCAGATTAGCTTTAGTGCTGAATTGCAAAATAGTCCCTTGTAGTCAAGAAAAATTGCGATCGTGATTCAGAGGAGGCTGGCAGCATTCAGTTTTAGGTGCATCTTCTTGTATTCGATGTACTTACGCAAGGTTATTCGTCTATCAAGGTTAGGGTGACCAGATAGCTGAAGTGGTAAATACGGACACCACCGTTTTCTCGTCGAAACAAATAGCGATACAGTATAGAAGGTTAGGCAGAAGACTTATCTGGGTAGCTTCTGGCTGAATTAGTGGCAGGAGGAATGATTTCGAGGCAGGGTTTGGCTGCAAGACACTTTGGAGATGTGTAGCAAATGTCTCAGCTCGGTCTTCGTCGCTGCGAGCCCAGCATACCGATGAGTTTCTTATCAGGGTGGTTGTTTCAATTGGGGGCGCTAAGACTTGGGTTTGCGAGTTAAGACTCGCAGTTTCCACATTTCTTCACAGTACTGCCCTTGTTTGTAATGTAGTGAGCGGAGTTGTAGGCGTCCCCGCAGACTACACAGACAGCCCGAAGTGTACAGTACAACCTAATGTGTCCATACTCTTGGCAATAAGTGCATTGAACTGGACCGTTGCGTTTATAAGGCTCTTCCACTGTGATTCTCCGATGCAAAAAAATATTTAATATTTTGGTTTGTAAAATGGGCTGGACTTAGTTCTTCTAAGTTAACTTTGACTTAGTTCAGCGACCTGTTTTTTGGATCGAGCACAACATTGAAGAGGGATTGTGGCATTTAGTCTTTATTCCTTCCTGCTGCTTTCTTTTCACTAACTACTACTTTCTACTATTACTACTACTACACTAAAACTACTTCTCAGTAACTACTACTAATACTACACTAAAACTATTTTTCGTTGCATTGAAAATGATATTGATACCAGATATTGGGACACGATTCGGAAGTGCTCTTTAGTCTTTGCTTGCACCTTTGTTTTATGTTCCCTTTGATAAGTGGGACAAAATATATGTTGTAACCGTTCCCGATCAACGCAAACATTCGGTTGACCACGGCATTCGATCTTTTCTCTCTGATATAGATTAGAGGGGGGTTGGGTTGCTTGGGGTGTCTTGCGTTGGTAGGTTTTCCCCTACCTCCGCCAGTAGGGAAAATCTTTTGCTACTGGATCTGCCCGGTTCTTCGTCCATCTTCTGGACGCGGTTAATTTTTGTTTTAAATTGGGGCTTAATTTGGATGTACTGATCCATTCGGTGGGGGCCGTTTTGGAACTTTCGGAAGTTGTTTTTGTACTCGCTGTAGTTGTTGACGCCGCGGTACTTTTAGTTGCAGTGGTTGTCGCTGTGGTTGCAGAAATTGTAGCACTGCTTGTTGTTGGTGCGAAATTTGTTTCCGCCATTGGAGGGGGTGTTTTACACTGCGAACTCCATGACGCGGGTGAGCCATGACGGTGAGTTTCAGCGGTCAGTAGAGCCGGGTTTCTCTTAATCGCCGATTTTTCCATTTCGGTATCGAGGTTTGAAAAGTAAGGGTAGAAGCCGTTTCTTTGGTTCACTGAGCTTCTACGCTTCTTTTGATCGTTGCTCAAAGAGCAATGCACTTATTTATTTAAAAACACTATACGCAAGTTTTTGTTTTAACACATCACAACTTTTATATAAAGATTGTCTATTATTTTTATTAGATTGTGGTTCTTTTGGCTTCTATTTTTGGTTTCGTAAATGCGATTATTTCGCAGTTTTCCCGGAGCTCGGGCAAAGCACGTCAAAAATTGGAAAGTCAAACCTCAACGATATGCGCCGTACACCACGCCGAGAGTTGAAAAAAACAGCGCATGCCCATATTGTAAACCCTATGCAATGTTTGTCGCTTGGAATCCACCTCAAACGAGGATCAGCAAAACAATACATTGATGTACGAAAAGGTTTGTTCATGGTCAGAAATAAGGGCAATAAAGTTTTAGTTTTATGATTCTTTTTATATTTACTTTTATTTTTTTATTATTTTTTTTTTTTACGCTATTATTATTATTTTTAATTGCATTCTATAACAATTAAAGTAAAAAAGTGACGGACGTGTCGGATGACAAAATGCCGGAAGGACTCCCTTGAAATGTTATTAGCCGGACATAATGAAGAATTAAACAATTTAACAATTGTAAAATTAAAGAAAAACTTTACAATTAAAGAAAAAAAAAAATAATAATAATTATAAAATAAAGAAAAAGTTCAAAGTCCTTACGAGGATTTGAACACAGAAAAATTACACATAGAGTAACTACTCTACGCATTACGCTACCATTCTGTCTCGATCTGCGGCGATCAAAAATACTATTTGTTCTACCAACTACCACATCGGCGCATCGAAAACAGAAACGAGAAATTGAAATTGAAATTTGGAAGCCAAAACATTTTTACGCCGTCGTGCGAGCAGTCACACATACATACGTAGGTTCTAAAAATAGAATCGTATGCATGTACGTTCCCCCCTCACCAACAAGCTCGACGCAAAAAGTTGACCGTTTTGGGCCCTGATGTCCCATCTATGTACTTTATAATCTTTGGTTATAGCAAAGATTATACAGTACATAGATGGGACATCTCATACAAAGAAAAATTTTCTATGGCGGGTTCCATTGCGCGACAAGTTAACCCGCTCGTTCGCAAGTTTGAGAAATTTTTCGCGCGACAAAGAATGAGGAATAGCCCAGTGGTAGAGTGCTTGGCTGGTGTGCAAAGTAAAACGAGTTCAAACCTGGCTCGGGAAGTCAATTTTTTTTTAATTTTAAATCTATTTTTATTATATTTTTATTCTTTGTTTATGTGTTTTCCTAAATTTATAATCCAATAAAAAAAAATACAAAATTGTAAAATAACCTTAACATCGTCTCAATTCGTAGTGGAACCCGCTGTAAATGTCTATAAGTGCGGGTTCTACGGCATTTTGGCAGGCCGCGTCGTGGAACCCGTTGCTTTCCGTTGATTCCGTTGCTTGACTGAATTTGTATCGATGTGGCCTGCAAGAAGTTTGTTCCAAACCTTTTGTGAAAATGGTGTTTAATGCGTTCTCTGATTAGAACTCCAGTTCCGCCGTGGGCTTTCCCATCTGGATGATCTGTGCGGTAGATTGTGTAGCCTCTCATATAAAAGTTGTATTTGCTTGTAAGATGCGTTTCCACCAGTAGAATAGCGTCAATATGGTTTTCGGTCAAGAATTGTGACAATTCTAGTTTATGCCGTAAGACACCATTGGCGTCAAAAAATCAAAATTTTTCCACTGAGAAAAATTTTCTCAGAAATTGGGTTGGAAAAAGTTTTTTTTCATGGAGAATATAGATAGGGAAGCGTAGTTTTCCATTTGTTTAGGAAATGTTGCTAGCAAAGCTTTTTTTTAAAATAAAATACTCAACTTTAGTGCCCATTCCAACTTTTAATTCATTAACGAAAAATGAAATAAAAAAATAAGTTTTTTTCGCTCTGTGAATTCTCTGCTCTCAATGTTTTTCTTTGCTACGCACACACTCACATTTTAAACATGTGTTAGTTTTTCCTCCACTGGTTTAATGAGATTGATTTATCTCACACTCTAAAAAAATAACAAAATAGGGTATATTTAAATATTTATGCCGAATATTTTAAAAAGTAGAAAAACAAGAACGAAAAAATGATCTTGCCTCATCAACGTTACAGTTTCGATTATATTTTTCTCTAATCTTAAGCCGAACTTATCTATTGCGGCGAAGCGGGGTAAATTCACACAAGAGCGAATATGAGCTTTCGCTCCCGCTCCGCCCTAAGCTATCTTAGAGTAAGTTTAGAGACTAACAACTACACCGGCCCATCTGGCAGCCGCGCCAGCATGTGGACTGCAATCCTATACTCCGCTCCAAAGCTAGTTCTGACGATGGCGACCCTGACCCTTCCATCCGCGCCGGTGTGCGTTGCTCCTACTCTTCCTGTGAGCCACTGTTGTGGCGGTTGGTGATCCTCTGCGATCAGGACCAGCTCGCCCGTCCGGATGTGGTCCTCCTTGTTCTGCCACTTCGACCGCGCCTGTAGGCCCAAGACGTACTCCCGGAACCAAAACATTTGCTTGATTGACGAGACAAGCCGCCATCGCCGCAAGCACGTTAGACCCTGCTGGTCTGAGGTCCGCGGTGCTGGTGGGGCGATGAGCGACCCGCCTGTCAACAGGCGTCGCTTGGGTCCTGACTCAGAGCGGTCGTGAGTTCAGGACGGCCTCGACTCCAACGAGGACGGTCTGGTGCTCCTCCGCGGTTAGCCTGGCGTTCCCTACCGCACGTAGGAGTAGGTGTTTTGCAGACTTCACACCTGCCTCCCATAGTCCCCCATGTAGGGAGCCCGCGGAGGTATGAACGCAACTACGCATCCGTTTTTTGATGTGTATTGCGTGACCGCGTCGACCTTGTCCTCGATTCTCCGACGACGCTCTGCGAAGTGGCGACTCGCTCCGATGAAGTTCGTCGCGTTGTCGCAGTGCACGATCTGCGGACATCCTCGGCGCCCAACGAACCTTTAAAAAGCCAAAAAAAGGAATCAGTTGAAAGGTCGGAAACTACTTCTAAATGAACTGCCTTGGACGCAAAACAAACAAATAAGGCAATGTAGGCAATTTTCAATTTCGTATCAAATAAAAACCAACACCACATATAGAGGATAAGCGGAGAGAAAGAATTCTATCTAAGGGTAAATCACCCATGATTTGAGTCATCAGACGAGGCTTGCATTTAAAGCAGCGTAGGCATGACCGTACTGTCGGACTGCAGACTTCCTGCGCATTCCTGCGACTCACAAGTGCTCGTGGACCCACATGAAAATTCGACTCGTGCAAGTATCGGACGTAATTGAGAGCGTTTTGTCATCAATACTGGAAACTTGGCATCGTACGATATAGGAGCATTAGCTAGTCGCCCCCCAACCCGCAACAACGAAAAGGTAAGCCCAGCATCTGAAGATTCGTTTAAAAAGGGATTTAGCTTTTGTAAACTAGGGCTAACACTTAAATTTTTCCGGATATTTTCTATTTCATCTTGTTACTCGTGCTCTTGGACTATTTCGTCTATTTTCTTAAAGGCTTCATTATATTCGACAGGTGAGGGAACAATATCAGAATTCACTACTAATTTCTTCGATTTCCTTATAAAGCGGAACATATAAACGAACACTCGCAGCAGTTTTAGGTGAGAGGAATAACCTTCTATCACTTCCAATAAATCTGAGGTAGATACGATTGCGGTTAATCCGACCGCATTCTTTTTAGCTTCCATCTGTAGAAGTTCTGGTGACAGATCAAACCGGTGGCTCGTCGGCCACTTATCTTCCGGTTCCTTTAAAAACGATGGACCTGTAAACCAGATCGATTCTACAGTCTCCTTTACGTCTCCACCTCTGGACACTATATCTTCCGGATTCTGTTTAGTTAGTACATGCCGCCACGTGCTATCATCTGACCACTCTTGAATTTCAGCTACTCTGTTCGATACGAACGTTGACAACTACGATGGGTGGGAACGAATCCAATGAAGAGTACCTTCTGAATCCGACCAAAATACACTTTGTTCGATCGGAACTTTTATTAGAGGCTTTATCTTGCGGCAGAAATCTGCGAGAAGGTGAGCGGCACTTAGCTCAAGACGGGGGAGCGTCTTTGTCTTGAGCGGCGCTACTTTGGACTTTGCCGTCAACAATGAAACTTTAATACCTTCTGGAGATTCGCAACGAATATAGACGCAGGCTCCATAGGCTCTCATCGATGCGTCAGAAAAGGCATGAATTTGAATCGGTGACATCGACTAGGTAAACACGAATCTCGGAATTGAGATGTCCTCTAATTGCGACAAAGCAATTTGTATTTTGTTCCACGTTGTTTCTAAGTGCAGTGGAATTGACTCATCCCAATCTAGCTTATTTACCCAAAGTTCCTGCAATAGGATCTTTCCTTTTATAAGTATAGGGCTTAATAAGCCAAGGGGGTCAAACAGCTTCGATGTCACCGAAAGGATGTTCCGCTTGGTCGCCCTTTGACCCATGATTGTTAATTATTTTAACCAACTATTCAAATTGTTAGCTCTACTAATTTCAAGTACGTATGCGCCAAGAATTAAAAGGAGGGTGCCATATTCCAGCACAAGACGTAGATTTAAGCGAGCAGCTCTTTGAATTTTTGTTCTTTTTTGTGTGTAGTAACACAGTGTCACTGTCACTTTATGTTTATGTTTATTTTTTAAATATTTAGCACTACAGTCCACCCAGGGGCGCCAAAATGAGATTGAGATGAGATTGATTTATCTCACACTCTAAAAAAAATAACAAAAAAGGATGGCTGCCGAATATTTAAAAAAGTCGAAAAACGAGAACGAAAAAATGATCTTGCCTCATCAACGTTATAATTTCGATTATATTTTTCTCTAATCTTAAGCCTAACTTATCTATTGCGGGGAATTCACACAAGAACGAATATGAGCTTTCGCTCCCGCTCCACCCTAAGCTATCTTAGAGTAAATTTAGAGAATGATACATTGACTCACGCTTGAACAACGCTTTGAAATAGTGCAATTTTATTTCGAAAATAATGGTTCTGTGCAGAATATGTATGTCCTTTGAGAAATACGTATCGCGGACTATCTTCTTTTTATCGTCGACAAAATCGTCCATCAGCGCAATTAATTCGATTAACAATGGAACGTTTTCGCACCACGCCAACTCTTATTGATAACTTGCACCCCCAGAGACGGCGTACAGTGCATACAGAAGAAGCTATTGATACTGTAAAGCGCAGCATTGAGGAAGACCCGAATGAGTCCATCCGCCATCGATCGTATTTCGCGGAAGGATCTTGGTTTGGGTGCCTTCAAAATCCGACTCGTGCAAGAATTAAAGCTAACCGATCATCAAGCAAGGCGTAGATTCGTCGAATGAAGCCAAAATGAGATTTCCATTGTTCCCGATTTTCATAAGCGAATTTTGTTTAGCGATGAAGCGCACTTCTGGTTCTATGGCTACGTCAACAAACAAAACTGCCGCATTTGGAGCGAAGCTAGCCCTCAAGTGTATGTCAAAACACCGTTACATCCAGAAAAACTATCTGATTAGCTTAGTTTGGGGCTATGTAAAGTCATTGGTCTATTCGGATAAGCCACAAACGCTTGACCATTTGGAAGACAACATTCGCCGTGTTATTGCCGATAATATGTACGACCACAAATGTTCGAAAAAGTCAAATTTTCGATTCATAGAAATCAGCAAAACCGTTGAAGACCATTCGCCCTATGAATCCATGAAAATCCGAAAAACTTTCAACTCCGGTTGACCCTTGGAAGGGAGAGATCACAGGAACATTTTTTAAGAAATTTTCTTGGAACAATTTTTTTTCATAGAAAATGTAGATAGGAAAGCGTATATTTTCATTTGTTTAAGAGCTGTTGAATATATCTTAGCATATACCGAATACATCTGGTATATACATACGTCTACAAAAATCGGTATTACAAATCTATCATCGATCGGTCACACTTACGTGTGTTACCGCTTCTTCTTTGTAAAACTTGAAACTGGCTGGTTGTGTGTGCAAACGAAAAGAATAAAATTATTACAAATTGAATAACTTAATAAAACAGTGTTTTTATTTAAACAATTAATTCACAGGCTCAGTTTTACAACAGGTTATGGGCCCAGTTCACAAAAATCATATATTTCAAAGTTTAAGGGGGAAATACAATTAAAAATTTATTTTTTTCGAAAATTTTTTTTGTCTTAATGTACTCTAAATATGTCTGGGAATAAGCCTTTAAAAGCATAAAGCTGTCCGGTACTTATTTTCAAAGTAATACGCAATTTAGTGAGTGCGTGTCAGTGGTAAACTTTAGTGAGTGGTAAACTTTAAACGCTTCTACTGAAAAGTCGTGTTTTCAAAATCGCCGTGCAGTCACAGGTCAGAGATTTAATTTCAATCTAATGCGGTTTTTTGCTTTATGTTTGAAATGCAATTCTCCATAACATGAATTAAAGGATTTTTCATATTTATTTGTTATAACATATTTTTTTTTTTGACGAACAAAGTCGAAAAAAAGTGTGTTTTTTTTTAAACATTTTTTTCAATTTCAAATTTTTTCATGGAAAAACCATTTTTTTGCATATGAAATAATTCATGTTGTGCGCTGTACCTCTAAGTTTAATGCCCAGTGGCTGTTTTTTGTTTTAGACGTGATCCTGGGCCTGGAGACTGCACGGCGCAAAGTTTATCCCCCAAAACACGACTCCATATTATTGATCATAAATGGGCTTAATTACAATATTTTTCGAAAAACTTGACTGATTTTCATTGCCCAATAATTTCCTAATAACATGCAAAAAGAATCGCTAAGATTCATTCAATTCCCTACTTGCAATTTACTCCCAAAGATAGGCCTCATTTTAGGCCTTTTAATTGTATTTCCCCCCTTAATAAGAATTATAAGTTTTTTTTGTTCCCTTATACATTATTGTGAAATTCCAGCAAACAGCTTCGATGTCACCGAAAGGATGTTCCGCTTGGTCGCCCTTTGACCCATGATTGTTAATTATTTTAACCAACTATTCAAATTGTTAGCTCTACTAATTTCAAGTACGTATGCGCCAAGAATTAAAAGGAGGGTGCCATATTCCAGCACAAGACGTAGATTTAAGCGAGCAGCTCTTTGAATTTTTGTTCTTTTTGTGTGTAGTAACACAGTGTCACTGTCACTTTATGTTTATGTTTATTTTTTAAATATTTAGCACTACAGTCCACCCAGGGGCGCCAAAATGAGATTGAGATGAGATTGATTTATCTCACACTCTAAAAAAAATAACAAAAAAGGATGGCTGCCGAATATTTAAAAAAGTCGAAAAACGAGAACGAAAAAATGATCTTGCCTCATCAACGTTATAATTTCGATTATATTTTTCTCTAATCTTAAGCCTAACTTATCTATTGCGGGGAATTCACACAAGAACGAATATGAGCTTTCGCTCCCGCTCCACCCTAAGCTATCTTAGAGTAAATTTAGAGAATGATACATTGACTCACGCTTGAACAACGCTTTGAAATAGTGCAATTTTATTTCGAAAATAATGGTTCTGTGCAGAATATGTATGTCCTTTGAGAAATACGTATCGCGGACTATCTTCTTTTTATCGTCGACAAAATCGTCCATCAGCGCAATTAATTCGATTAACAATGGAACGTTTTCGCACCACGCCAACTCTTATTGATAACTTGCACCCCCAGAGACGGCGTACAGTGCATACAGAAGAAGCTATTGATACTGTAAAGCGCAGCATTGAGGAAGACCCGAATGAGTCCATCCGCCATCGATCGTATTTTGCGGAAGGATCTTGGTTTGGGTGCCTTCAAAATCCGACTCGTGCAAGAATTAAAGCTAACCGATCATCAAGCAAGGCGTGGATTCGTCGAATGAAGCCAAAATGAGATTTCCATTGTTCCCGATTTTCATAAGCGAATTTTGTTTAGCGATGAAGCGCACTTCTGGTTCTATGGCTACGTCAACAAACAAAACTGCCGCATTTGGAGCGAAGCTAGCCCTCAAGTGTATGTCAAAACACCGTTACATCCAGAAAAACTATCTGATTAGCTTAGTTTGGGGCTATGTAAAGTCATTGGTCTATTCGGATAAGCCACAAACGCTTGACCATTTGGAAGACAACATTCGCCGTGTTATTGCCGATAATATGTACGACCACAAATGTTCGAAAAAGTCAAATTTTCGATTCATAGAAATCAGCAAAACCGTTGAAGACCATTCGCCCTATGAATCCATGAAAATCCGAAAAACTTTCAACTCCGGTTGACCCTTGGAAGGGAGAGATCACAGGAACATTTTTTAAGAAATTTTCTTGGAACAATTTTTTTTCATAGAAAATGTAGATAGGAAAGCGTATATTTTCATTTGTTTAAGAGCTGTTGAATATATCTTAGCATATACCGAATACATCTGGTATATACATACGTCTACAAAAATCGGTATTACAAATCTATCATCGATCGGTCACACTTACGTGTGTTACCGCTTCTTCTTTGTAAAACTTGAAACTGGCTGGTTGTGTGTGCAAACGAAAAGAATAAAATTATTACAAATTGAATAACTTAATAAAACAGTGTTTTTATTTAAACAATTAATTCACAGGCTCAGTTTTACAACAGGTTATGGGCCCAGTTCACAAAAATCATATATTTCAAAGTTTAAGGGGGGAAATACAATTAAAAATTTATTTTTTTCGAAAATTTTTTTTGTCTTAATGTACTCTAAATATGTCTGGGAATAAGCCTTTAAAAGCATAAAGCTGTCCGGTACTTATTTTCAAAGTAATACGCAATTTAGTGAGTGCGTGTCAGTGGTAAACTTTAGTGAGTGGTAAACTTTAAACGCTTCTACTGAAAAGTCGTGTTTTCAAAATCGCCGTGCAGTCACAGGTCAGAGATTTAATTTCAATCTAATGCGGTTTTTTGCTTTATGTTTGAAATGCAATTCTCCACAACATGAATTAAAGGATTTTTCATATTTATTTGTTATAACATATTTTTTTTTGACGAACAAAGTCGAAAAAAAGTGTGTTTTTTTTAAACATTTTTTTCAATTTCAAATTTTTTCATGGAAAAACCATTTTTTTGCATATGAAATAATTCATGTTGTGCGCTGTACCTCTAAGTTTAATTCTCAGTGGCTGTTTTTTGTTTTAGACGTGATCCTGGGCCTGGAGACTGCACGGCGCAAAGTTTATCCCCCAAAACACGACTCCATATTATTGATCATAAATGGGCTTAATTACAATATTTTTCGAAAAACTTGACTGATTTTCATTGCCCAATAATTTCCTAATAACATGCAAAAAGAATCGCTAAGATTCATTCAATTCCCTACTTGCAATTTACTCCCAAAGATAGGCCTCATTTTAGGCCTTTTAATTGTATTTCCCCCTTAATAAGAATTATAAGTTTTTTTGTGTCCCTTATACATTATTGTGAAATTCCAGCAAACAGCTTCGATGTCACCGAAAGGATGTTCCGCTTGGTCGCCCTTTGACCCATGATTGTTAATTATTTTAACCAACTATTCAAATTGTTAGCTCTACTAATTTCAAGTACGTATGCGCCAAGAATTAAAAGGAGGGTGCCATATTCCAGCACAAGACGTAGATTTAAGCGAACAGCTCTTTGAATTTTTGTTCTTTTTGTGTGTAGTAACACAGTGTCACTGTCACTTTATGTTTATGTTTATTTTTTAAATATTTAGCACTACAGTCCACCCAGGGGCGCCAAAATGAGATTGAGATGAGATTGATTTATCTCACACTCTAAAAAAAATAACAAAAAAGGATGGCTGCCGAATATTTAAAAAAGTCGAAAAACGAGAACGAAAAATGATCTTGCCTCATCAACGTTATAATTTCGATTATATTTTTCTCTAATCTTAAGCCTAACTTATCTATTGCGGGGAATTCACACAAGAACGAATATGAGCTTTCGCTCCCGCTCCACCCTAAGCTATCTTAGAGTAAATTTAGAGAATGATACATTGACTCACGCTTGAACAACGCTTTGAAATAGTGCAATTTTATTTCGAAAATAATGGTTCTGTGCAGAATATGTATGTCCTTTGAGAAATACGTATCGCGGACTATCTTCTTTTTATCGTCGACAAAATCGTCCATCAGCGCAATTAATTCGATTAACAATGGAACGTTTTCGCACCACGCCAACTCTTATTGATAACTTGCACCCCCAGAGACGGCGTACAGTGCATACAGAAGAAGCTATTGATACTGTAAAGCGCAGCATTGAGGAAGACCCGAATGAGTCCATCCGCCATCGATCGTATTTTGCGGAAGGATCTTGGTTTGGGTGTCTTCAAAATCCGACTCGTGCAAGAATTAAAGCTAACCGATCATCAAGCAAGGCGTAGATTCGTCGAATGAAGCCAAAATGAGATTTCCATTGTTCCCGATTTTCATAAGCGAATTTTGTTTAGCGATGAAGCGCACTTCTGGTTCTATGGCTACGTCAACAAACAAAACTGCCGCATTTGGAGCGAAGCTAGCCCTCAAGTGTATGTCAAAACACCGTTACATCCAGAAAAACTATCTGATTAGCTTAGTTTGGGGCTATGTAAAGTCATTGGTCTATTCGGATAAGCCACAAACGCTTGACCATTTGGAAGACAACATTCGCCGTGTTATTGCCGATAATATGTACGACCACAAATGTTCGAAAAAGTCAAATTTTCGATTCATAGAAATCAGCAAAACCGTTGAAGACCATTCGCCCTATGAATCCATGAAAATCCGAAAAACTTTCAACTCCGGTTGACCCTTGGAAGGGAGAGATCACAGGAACATTTTTTAAGAAATTTTCTTGGAACAATTTTTTTTCATAGAAAATGTAGATAGGAAAGCGTATATTTTCATTTGTTTAAGAGCTGTTGAATATATCTTAGCATATACCGAATACATCTGGTATATACATACGTCTACAAAAATCGGTATTACAAATCTATCATCGATCGGTCACACTTACGTGTGTTACCGCTTCTTCTTTGTAAAACTTGAAACTGGCTGGTTGTGTGTGCAAACGAAAAGAATAAAATTATTACAAATTGAATAACTTAATAAAACAGTGTTTTTATTTAAACAATTAATTCACAGGCTCAGTTTTACAACAGGTTATGGGCCCAGTTCACAAAAATCATATATTTCAAAGTTTAAGGGGGAAATACAATTAAAAATTTATTTTTTTCGAAAATTTTTTTTGTCTTAATGTACTCTAAATATGTCTGGGAATAAGCCTTTAAAAGCATAAAGCTGTCCGGTACTTATTTTCAAAGTAATACGCAATTTAGGGAGTGCGTGTCAGTGGTAAACTTTAGTGAGTGGTAAACTTTAAACGCTTCTACTGAAAAGTCGTGTTTTCAAAATCGCCGTGCAGTCACAGGTCAGAGATTTAATTTCAATCTAATGCGGTTTTTTGCTTTATGTTTGAAATGCAATTCTCCATAACATGAATTAAAGGATTTTTCATATTTATTTGTTATAACATATTTTTTTTTGACGAACAAAGTCGAAAAAAAGTGTGTTTTTTTTAAACATTTTTTTCAATTTCAAATTTTTTCATGGAAAAACCATTTTTTGCATATGAAATAATTCATGTTGTGCGCTGTACCTCTAAGTTTAATGCCCAGTGGCTGTTTTTTGTTTTAGACGTGATCCTGGGCCTGGAGACTGCACGGCGCAAAGTTTATCCCCCAAAACACGACTCCATATTATTGATCATAAATGGGCTTAATTACAATATTTTTCGAAAAACTTGACTGATTTTCATTGCCCAATAATTTCCTAATAACATGCAAAAAGAATCGCTAAGATTCATTCAATTCCCTACTTGCAATTTACTCCCAAAGATAGGCCTCATTTTAGGCCTTTTAATTGTATTTCCCCCTTAATAAGAATTATAAGTTTTTTTTGTTCCCTTATACATTATTGTGAAATTCCAGCAAACAGCTTCGATGTCACCGAAAGGATGTTCCGCTTGGTCGCCCTTTGACCCATGATTGTTAATTATTTTAACCAACTATTCAAATTGTTAGCTCTACTAATTTCAAGTACGTATGCGCCAAGAATTAAAAGGAGGGTGCCATATTCCAGCACAAGACGTAGATTTAAGCGAGCAGCTCTTTGAATTTTTGTTCTTTTTTGTGTGTAGTAACACAGTGTCACTGTCACTTTATGTTTATGTTTATTTTTTAAATATTTAGCACTACAGTCCACCCAGGGGCGCCAAAATGAGATTGAGATGAGATTGATTTATCTCACACTCTAAAAAAAATAACAAAAAAGGATGGCTGCCGAATATTTAAAAAAGTCGAAAAACGAGAACGAAAAAATGATCTTGCCTCATCAACGTTATAATTTCGATTATATTTTTCTCTAATCTTAAGCCTAACTTATCTATTGCGGGGAATTCACACAAGAACGAATATGAGCTTTCGCTCCCGCTCCACCCTAAGCTATCTTAGAGTAAATTTAGAGAATGATACATTGACTCACGCTTGAACAACGCTTTGAAATAGTGCAATTTTATTTCGAAAATAATGGTTCTGTGCAGAATATGTATGTCCTTTGAGAAATACGTATCGCGGACTATCTTCTTTTTATCGTCGACAAAATCGTCCATCAGCGCAATTAATTCGATTAACAATGGAACGTTTTCGCACCACGCCAACTCTTATTGATAACTTGCACCCCCAGAGACGGCGTACAGTGCATACAGAAGAAGCTATTGATACTGTAAAGCGCAGCATTGAGGAAGACCCGAATGAGTCCATCCGCCATCGATCGTATTTTGCGGAAGGATCTTGGTTTGGGTGCCTTCAAAATCCGACTCGTGCAAGAATTAAAGCTAACCGATCATCAAGCAAGGCGTGGATTCGTCGAATGAAGCCAAAATGAGATTTCCATTGTTCCCGATTTTCATAAGCGAATTTTGTTTAGCGATGAAGCGCACTTCTGGTTCTATGGCTACGTCAACAAACAAAACTGCCGCATTTGGAGCGAAGCTAGCCCTCAAGTGTATGTCAAAACACCGTTACATCCAGAAAAACTATCTGATTAGCTTAGTTTGGGGCTATGTAAAGTCATTGGTCTATTCGGATAAGCCACAAACGCTTGACCATTTGGAAGACAACATTCGCCGTGTTATTGCCGATAATATGTACGACCACAAATGTTCGAAAAAGTCAAATTTTCGATTCATAGAAATCAGCAAAACCGTTGAAGACCATTCGCCCTATGAATCCATGAAAATCCGAAAAACTTTCAACTCCGGTTGACCCTTGGAAGGGAGAGATCACAGGAACATTTTTTAAGAAATTTTCTTGGAACAATTTTTTTTTCATAGAAAATGTAGATAGGAAAGCGTATATTTTCATTTGTTTAAGAGCTGTTGAATATATCTTAGCATATACCGAATACATCTGGTATATACATACGTCTACAAAAATCGGTATTACAAATCTATCATCGATCGGTCACACTTACGTGTGTTACCGCTTCTTCTTTGTAAAACTTGAAACTGGCTGGTTGTGTGTGCAAACGAAAA